GTCTTTAGTCTCTTTGCTTAGCCTTAGCCATGCTAAGCTAAGTAGCCCAGAGGATTGCTTAATTTCAAAGGGACAAATTGTTTTTTTTAATCCCCCAAAAAACAAGATACGTCTACAGTGATGCTAAAGGCTCAGTGAGGTTGTAGTGACAAAAGCTACAATGCTAGCTCATGTAAGCTCATAATGTTAGCATGCTAAAATTAGCTTATAAGCAGATCACTTAAAATGGACATCTACCATGCTTGTTGACATGACAAAATATACATATAAAAATACATTTAAATTAAATATAAAATGATTAATAGAGCAAACTTTTTACCAACTTTTTTTTCAAGTTTACTCTGGCCTGACACACTGATCAGCCATAGCATTAATGCTAACTAATACTTTTGTCCCTTCAGCCATCAGGTACTAATTTATTTCTGTCCTCCTGTAACACCTCATGTTATTTGAAATACTGCCAATTTGCACCTTATTGTAAGTTCTTACAATTTTTGCACATTTCCGTAAATACCAGCATTTTAGGCACCTTATTGCTATGTCTTTGATTAGCAGCATTTGCATGCACATTGTTCCTTTATCTATCTATTTGTATGTAACATGTGTGAGCTACTGGATACCTTGAATTTCCCCAAGATGATGAATAAAGCATCTATCTGTCTATCTAGCTGAACAACACTGATTAGAATAGAATAGAATATACTTTATTTATCCCAGACCCGGGAAATGTATACGCCACAGCAACATTCAAAAACATAGAAAGAACGTACAAGAAAACAACAATAATTAAGATTATCTTGTGACAGAGGCATGTGTTAAGAGGGAGTGTATCTTAAACAGAAAGTGAACAGAAAGTTCTTAAAGCTGATGTGTTGAAAACACATAAAATTGCCAAGCATAAGGATTTGAGCAACTTTGACAAGAGCCATGTTGTGATTGCCAGACAGCTGGGTCAGAATATGTCCAGCAGGTCTTCCATATGGTCCGGGGAAGGTCCGCCGATGAACTGGTGGTAGATTCATGAGTTTGAGGTTCACTGAAGTGCATGCAGCTCGATGGCACAGGGGAGCTACAGCAGCAGATATGAAATCTTAATGATGCTGCCTATGTGGCTGCGTAGGTGCAGAGCGGTCAGAGTTCCCATGATGACCCCTGTGCACTGCTGAAATACCGACAATCTGCACATGGTGGAAGATGGCCTGAGGATTTTCCTCTACATTATGTGCATTGCTGAGTATTTGCGTTGTTCACCTGGGAACGAGTCGGCAGCAGGATGCACGAAGGCAGGTGCAGTGTGATGCTCTGGGTGATGTTCAGCTGGTGGATGCTACTTTAACACCGACTGTCTGTCTATAAACGTCTGCAGCATCCTGTTGTGTTTCCATAGTCTCTGTCTTTATAGTGATAATAATCGTTGCACCCACATATGTCAACAGTCAGGGGGTTGATTGCACACCATGTATTAAGACGTCTTGTTTGCTGTAGACTGCTGGGCATTTTATTTCTGTTGCCATGGTAATATTTGCACGAGGGCGGCCAGAGTAGTTGTCCTCTGATCATAAGGTTCACGGTTTGATCTCCTGCCCCTCCACAGTCGAAGTGTCCTGGGGCAAGAACCCGAAGTTGCTCCCAATGGTAGGCAGCACCTTGCTTTGTCACCATTGGTGTTTGAATGTGTGGGTGAATGAGAAACATTGTGAAGCACTTTGGTATAAAAGCACTACGTAAGTGCAGCCCATTTACCAGTGTCTTCATTCACCTGTTCAGGATATTTAGGGATATTCACAAAGCTGTGAGAATGGAGATGACCAGACAATCTCCATGTGTGAGCTTTTGCTCAATCCTTGAGTTATAAAGTTCTGGTTCTTGTGTTTATTACACATACTACAGATTTTCTACATTATTTTTCTGTACGTCTCAAACCTAAGAGGTGTTTTTAATTTTAAAAATGAGTACTCAGGCAGTAACAGAATGAGATGCTTGACACAAAGACCGGTTGTCCTTGGTATTATCAGGAGTAGCTGAGTGGTTTCTCTGTGTACGGTCACGGATTTCTTTCGTCAACCGTATTTATATATGTCCTGTGGAATCATTCCCTTCCTAAATGGTCTTTTACAGTGTTTACTTTCATTAGCTCATGTTTTATGGCAGACGATGAAAAACCAAATCCTCTTTGTGTCTCGTGAACAGACCGAATAAACGAAGGTGCTTGTAAATGAGATTTATGTCGAACACAGTAAAACAGGTATTTTTTTAAAAACAGTTGGAAGGCATTTAATTTGATGTGCATGCAATGTTCCTCTATTAAAAAGTTAAAGATTTTAAATTATTTGTGCACTGGTGATCATAATTGCTGCGGAAAAAACAGGACAAAAACCTTGCTGAGATAATAATTCAGCCTTTCTGGGGCTCTCAGCAACTTCACAGTTGCCTTGAAAACCTCAGAAAATTTAGATCTGACTAAATGAGGTTTCCACCAGATGGCCACAGAGGGTGGCAGCCCCTCAGAGCAGGACACAAATGGATGCAGTTGTTCAGCTGTCTCATATGATGGCTGGCGAACAATTGATCTGATGAGGGTTTAGCGATGCTGTTTCCCGTTTACACCACACAGAGTGTGTGAAGGGCCTGAAGGGATTAATGTTTTGCTGTGAAGCCAGAGGTGGTTCTATATTAAAGCTTATAGATGGAAAAGATTGCAATCGATAGCAGGAGTACATGTTGTCCAAAGACAGTGGGAGAACAAGCTTTAAATTCTACATCACAGAAGTTTTAACGAGACACAAGAATTACGGATGAGACGTGTTTTGCAGCTCAGTCGTCTCTGATCAGCTTCATGGAGAGTTGTTTTGGTTCCACCTGGTGGTCACCTTGAGTACGTCGTTTCTCAGACACGCCGCTCTGAGACGGAGCGGTAACTTTGTATGAGCTATGCGACGTCCTCTTTAACCTGATTAGAGCACACTTTACTGCCTCCCAAATCAAGCTAGCGTCCTGTTAATGTAATTGAGTCAAATGATACAGGGCTGACTCAACAAATGAGCAACTGCGACCAATTAAACAAATGGACTCCACTCACCAGACAGCGATGAAAACGTTGCACTATGACAAGAGTGGGAGCTGGAGGCCAATAATACTCATCTATTATGTTTGTCGAGACGTGAGAAGCATATTTCTTTCTCTAATACCATTAATTACTCCTTAACGCGGGATCAATAAGGAAAGCGCAGACACGTGTAAAAGGTCACTGGTCTTTGGTTTAATTGGTTTTATAAACAGTAAAACAAGGCACTGTGTCCATCAGTGAAATGTTAAAGGAAGAGTTAAAAAGCCTGAAAGAAAGTGGCTTTCAGAACAAAAACGTAGCTGGATGTTGCTGAGATGATTCTGTTACTCGCCTCCACACAGCTCCAGCAGGATTTTGCGGTAGTCGCCGGATGTGTCTCCCTGAGCAGTGAGAGAAGGAACTGTGAGACTTCAAAAGACTGGCGTGGGGAATTACTGCGAACCACGTCACGAAACCAAACCGATAACTAACACTGTCACATTTTTACTCAGATCCAAGACGTGAAAAAACTGTAATTATTACCTACATAGACAGTACAATAAGGTTTAAGTTTCACCGCAGTTCAAAACTACACAGAATTGCTAATATTAAATTTTTTTTTTCTGACAACTACATTCACCGTCCCAGATTTTTTAGTGCCTCACCTTGATGAAGGAGTAGAGAGTCTTTCCATACATCTTCAGGAACTGAGCCTTAATGTCCAGCATGTCAATCTCTGCCCTGGCAACCATTATTCTGATGAGGATGGTATCTGTGGTGCCCAGGCCCTGTCAAGGAAAGGAAGACAATACAAACCAAAGAAGAACATGTATTAGACGTTGCTTCTGCTTGTTTGTAGAACATGCAGTAATGACAGTTAACAACAAGTCAACCAAATGAGAAGATGATACCAGTCATTGTTTTTATCGCTCAAAAAAAACCAAAAACAAAACATAAGCAGAATTAAAACTGTGTTTCTACCTACTGATATGACAATTTTATATGCAAAACATGAATAAATGACACACCTACGCACACAAATTAACATGTAGCAGCTACACATTACTGCATGAAGTATTTACCTTCATTGATTTGTATAATCGCTCTGCAAAGAAGGCTGGTTTGCTCCTTATGCATTTCACTGCAAAGCAGAAAACAAACAAGACAAAAATCTGTCATAGAAAAAATCTGAAATGCTTGTTTTTAAATTAGACCCCCTCTGAAACAGTTAACTCACACACTTCTGTGAGACAGTGTCAAGAACACCTGAGGGTACTAATATACTGTATAGTATGCCAGCAAAAAGTTTTAGTATGTCCAGTGCAATATGGTACAAACATTGTCCTACTGCAGTTGAATAATAGTTGAATTCTCATGTATCCTGACCCGGAACCCTTTACGTCACATATGTCACGGTGTCTCACATGAGTCTAAACAAGTACTGGGATTTTGGTGGCATCTTTAGTTCCAGGCACTTTAGTGTGTTTTTACATAAAACTTCATACAGACGACTTGGTAAACAAGCAGCAACTAGAGCAAAATCTATTTACTTTTTGCTTTTTCTCTAGAAAAGTTTAGTTTCCAGCTTTTTCTTTGTCACTGCTTATTTGAACTTGATTGTTAACAGCAAGGTTGAAGCTTTACAGAATGAATATATTTTTTGGAAGAAACAAGTCACTAAAGAGACAAACCTATGGCCAGAAAGACGTCCTCCAGACTGCCAGACATCTCCCTCTTAATGCTGTCCTCAATTGACCTTCCAGAAATCTTCTGATATTCCTCAAACACTGCAAAGAAATGCAATACGATTAACAGGGAGTACAGATGCTGATTGTAGTGGTCTGTTGTGTCGCAAACTCAAAGATCATGCCAGTGAGTGTTTGCTCATGAACCCGCCACAAGGGGTCAGTAAAACCCCTCACATGACGTCTGGTACATGACATACAGTATAATCGCATTATGACAAAAAACATGGATTTCTACTGATCCAATTGAATAGGAAGGAATACCTCGCAGCAGATGCTTTTGGTTCCTTACACAAAGCACTGTAAGGAATTTAACCTCGTCTGTGCCCCATCGAGCTTCACCGGCCTCGTAGATTTCCTACAATCACAAGCATTAAAAAATAAAAATTACATAAGGAGTCAAAGGTTCAGCACATCATTTCATCTCAACACCTAAACCTTTACCTTGGCATCCAGGACCGCCTGGGCCTCGTCCACGTTGTCGCTTTCATCCCGTCCAGCCTGCAGTGCAGAAGATACAGCAGCTCAGGATTGAGCAACATTTGACAAAAAAAACGGGAAAAAAAACTACACAACTGTTGTTTTTATTAAGAAGAAGTGACTCATCCTTCCTCTTCCCTGATGACACAGCAGTTTGACCCACAGCCGCTCTTGACATTTTACAATTTTTCAATTTTAAATTGATGTCAAGTACTCCTGAAACTTTCTAGTAAACACCAGGAAGCGAACGCTATCAGACGAATGCTTTTGTATCATCTACAATCACAGGCCATTAAAACATTAACATCAGCACAAGCTCGGAGAGGTTATGGGTCGATGTTTGCTCACCGTGAGTAAAGAGACCAAAACCCTCTGAAACATTCCAGATGTGTCCCCACACACAGCATCCTCCAGGTTCTTCTCATATTCTGCCATGAAAAAAAATGTGACAAAGAAATTCAGATATAAAGCATGTTTAGTCACTTATTGAACACTGTGGAGCAGAGATACACAGCCAATATGCAGCATGTGGCCACGGCTAAAAACGGCTGCATACACTGGCTTATGAAGTTTTAATGACTCGTGCTTTTAGCAACATAACGTCCACTTCAATATCAAACATACAGAGTTTCTGGCCAACGGATGAATATGAAATCAATATTCATTCTCCTTTAAAGCGGCTTTGTTCTCGCAAACTCCTGGGAAACTTATCTTGCTTTGTTTTTTCTACCCTTTGGTGCAAGCCTGTTAGTGTACAGTGTGGTTAAATAGAGTTTCTGACACTTTCATAAGTCCTCAGAGGGGAATAAAAAGCTTAGATTCTCTGCGATCCCTCCACTATGAGCAACCACATTCACATAATACTCAATGTCAAACAAAAAAAAAAATGTTTATTGTAGATTTAAGAAGCTGTAATCCAGACTTCCTATGAGATCCATAAAGACAAGAAAGTTTGAAATATGCATCTACAACCAAATACAGTTCCATTAATATCCATTGTGTTGTCATCTAAACTAACTATGCTGTTTAATCTGCACAAAACATGTAGGCGACACCACAAAGCTCTACTCCAAAGCAATTTATTAATATGTGCTAAAACTAGTATCGTTCCAACCGCAGAGGAACAAATAAGCAAACAACAAACTGCCACTTGGACAGCAGCAACGGCTTTTATGAATAATTTACGGCATCCACTGTTTTCTAATAATGGATGTCATTGCATCTCCAAACAAGAGCAGAGGCTCAGACGCTGCTACGCAATATCATATATCATACACCAGCCATAGGCCGCATTAGACACTGAGACATACTGTAACCTGATGTCAGAAATTCTATTCATAGAAGCGGCACAATTACCTTTCTTGTAGAACGCATTGATGGTTTTTATTTCAGCATTTGATCTCGAAGCGAGAATGTCGATGAGACATGCCTCTTCTGTTCCGGCCCCCTGTGAAAAGCCAGAAGTTAACATTGAGGGGAAAGGAGCTTAAAGGATAAGGCAGGCAGTATTCTATATTTTTTGGCAGTGTCAAAAAGAACAACTATAAAAAGAGCAAAGTCTAGTTTGTCTCGTGATGCTCTTTGATTTCCTTTGGCCTCAAGCACATTCTTTCCTATAAGTCCTAAAGACAAATCACGAGTAAAAACTATTTTCTGTTTTAAAATATTTCACAAAACCACTGGGCACTGTCATTTTAAGCAACTCAAAAAGAAGAAAGTAAGGATTATTTCAGCTGCACATTAACACACATTTGGAGGACTACAAATAAACTATGGTTCATTACATAAATAGAGTGATAGAAGAGTGTTTTTATTAGTTTATTTGCATCAATAGTGGTTTATGGTTTGAAGGAATAAACTATATTAGTTTAGCCACACAGACAATACTCCTCTGTTCATTGTTGAACCTTTTGTTGGGATTTAGGTAAATACACAACATCATTAGAAGTGTTTGGTAAAGACAAAACAAGTGATCTGAGGAACTCCGACCTTCATGGCAGTTCTCAGCTCGTAGGCATCGTACACAGGCGCCAGCATCAGCAGACCGAGAACGACGCTCCTGAAGTTCCCACTCAGCTCCGAGGACAGATCATCAGCCAGGTCCTGCAACAGGAGGGACGGGAACAGACGAATTAACGGGGAAACAGTCGCTCGTGGTGCTTCGAATAATTCATTACGAGGGCATCTGTAATGAGAGCTGATTCCCTTTGATGTTAAATTCAATTAAAGCGGCTTTGTGTTCAGGTTTCTGGTCCCAGCGGGCACGTGACTCGACAATCCCACATTCTAGCAGCGCTCGGGTCTCCGCTAGAGGGTGTGGTTTCTGGAAAATGTTTTTGCGAAGCCGTTCCACACAACTCGGCGATGTGACCGCATGTGGGTGTCGCCATGTGCAGCATGACTCACTCTTTCTGCTTTGCAAGGATTCCTCTCACAATCCTTCCCTGTGCTGTAGCTCCCTCAATGAACTTTCAGATAATCTTATTGATCTCTAACTGTACCCTGTTAGTGATTATCTCAGTGTCAACACAATAAGATTTCCCTGTATGGCAACATATTGATTCCCGTAATCATGACACAAAGACACACAGTTAGAGACAGCCCTGTGTGGGATCAGTTTGTGTTTATTTTATTGAGGGGTATCTTCCTCTTCCCAACAGATTACAAAGCTCTCTGTGTTTGTCTTTGTTAATAGTTAACTTGTATTTTATCAGCGCCGTGTTAGTACAACAAAACCCCGCCTAAAGTGAACAAAACGATGAGAGTACACAGTGGGACACATCCGCTGGTGCTGCCAGAAGTCTTCACATTCTTTTGCTATCCAGCTGCCATTATTATTCCTCTTCCTCTGCTTCATTCATGTTTATTTAAAAACCCCCTTTTCATCCACAAAAAGATCATGTTTTCTGCCTTCAAGCACAAACCTCTCACCTTTCCAACTATTTGTTTGTAGGCCTCTTTGATGCGCTGCCTCTGGGCGATAGTCCGGTGAGCTAGGACCTCGATGAGAGCTGCCTCATTCGTGCCTGGAAGAAATACCACAGTATTAAAACCCTAACCCCCATCAAACTTTAAATATGAGGATCAGATATCAATTTAGGAACAAGGGTTCAGCCATAAAATGTAGAATGAGGCGTCAGTGTTGCAACCCTGGAGATGATCCTAACACACAGCTGTTTGCCTCTGTTGGCATAGTAACCGTCTGTTTGCAATGGAGCTCAAACTGGAGTCAGGGGAAGGTGATTAGACCAGTAACCCCTAACAGCATCAACATTCTTCGCCATAAATGTGCTGACGGAGAGAAACACGTTATTGTTACACTCTCCTGAATGCTTGTTAGGAAGTACCTGTTTGAGGGTTTTATACCTGCCAGCATAGAGTCAGAACACTGCCACCCATAATGAGATTAGTTAAGTGCTGCTTCCTGCGTAATCAGCACTGACGAGATTCTTCTTCCCTCCATATCGAAGGCTTTACAATGCAATGTGTAAAAGTGAGGCAAAGTACAAGGACAGAGAATGAATGGGCAGTGAAAAGAGAGGACTCGAAGCTGCCATGACAACATCGAACGCTGCAATTAGTTCTCAAACTTTCCTGCAGAGGAAAGGAGAGACTGAAGAGTTTTCTTTTTCCATGGAAGCCTAACTGTAATGACACCGTCCAATATATCTTTAGCTAATGATGGCTTCTGGATGGAAGGGGTCACTCACCAGCTCCCTTCATGGCTTCTCGAAGCTTCTGGACATCTGCCTCTGCGTTAAAGCCAGCCGCCTCAGTCACTGTTCCGCGGTTTCCAATCTGGTCGGAAATCACAAAATTAGAACCTCTCACCTTTTAAACAGACATAAATAAGCAGACACGTAGCTTTAGGGAATGGGCTGCTCCTTATTTACTGTTTATAACATATGTGATAACACCGACTTTGGAAAAACATTTTAACATTAATCAGTTAATTACATGCTAGCTTTATTAGCATCATAACTAGATTAAAAGCCTTTTGGTTCCACTTTCAGAAAAATAGAAAACATTTAACTTACATCTCCTATTTCAAAAAACTATTTTAAATGTCAGAGATTCAGATGCAATTTGTTTTAGAGGCTCTCACGACACACCTTTATTAGTAGAATACTTTAATGATAAGGTAGAGACATTAGTTGACCTCATATCAGTGATGGATTTCTTAATTGGCCAATATAATGTCATTTTGAGATAAGTGTCTAATTACCAGGCGCCCGGCTAACCAGGGCTTTGCTAGGTTGTTCTGTATGTTTAAAAATAGCGCTATACTTTGAAAAACAGGTGCTCGAGCAGAACAAACACGTGGTAGATGTTGAAATTAGCAACTGTAGGGAGAGAATTAGCGTTATTAGATGAGCCAAGATATGTATCCAGAAACAGCAGCGAGGCAAGATGTTCATTCAAGTTCAGCAACTTTTTGTCTTTTCATTATGATTATTACTAAGTTTTCGGATTTATCAGATGCAAAAACAACAACATAACAGCTCCATCATATGTCAACCATCTCAATATATCCGAATAGCCACTGAGCACCCATATCTGTTGGCCACTACATCATATTTATAATGACCCAAAGGCCTTTTTTCACTATCAGGGTCAGTACTGTAACAGTTTATTTAGGCTAATCTGCTGACACTTAGATTTACCTGCGTGAAACACATCATGAGTAACATAAAGAAGAAATGAAAATGTAAAAATAATATTAATCTAAATAGTTCTGCACATTTTGTGTTGACGTTTAGTACCATATGAACATAAAAACTGATTTATTTATTACAAAAGCTATAGAATATTTTATCTTTACCATGTGATTACAGTTCCATTCATTCTTGCCCACTGTCTAGTGTAGCAAGTCTCTACTGGTGATGCAAATATATGTAAAAGCTTTGACTGAATGATGCACAGGTGGAACTGCAGCAACAAGGTAAACTTACTGCTGCCATTGTGAGACGAGTGTTGATTTCCAAACTGGAGGTCCAGAAAGCTACAAAAGAGCAAACAGAAAACATTTGGATATCAATAACTCAAAGGCCAGTGGAAGAAGAAAGGAAGCACAGAGGCAGTAAACTGTTTCAGGTTTGAACGTGACCCTCGTTAACCTCTGATCAATATTGAATGCAGTTCATCATCTTAGAAAAGGTTTCCATCACACACCCACGTGGTCACGGGCTCTCCTGTGTCCCACATCTGTGTCGGCGCCGAGGAAACTAATCTCATTAAGCTTGTGTTTGTTTCGACACACCTGTAATTGCTCCACAGAGAGGGGAGGTAGAGTCTCCCCCCCCGTCTGTAAGGATCAACTGACACACCGATGTGCCCATCATAGATGTGTTAAAGTCCTCTCAGTCATCTATTTAGTTTATAAGCTCAGACAGATGTCCACAGTCCAGATGTGATTACTGGACAAGACTTCCTTCCATTTATTACCAAGCACATTAAAGGTTTGTATTTCTAATCAGACGAAAACTGGACTCCTGTCCTGAAGAAGAGACATTTATTAATCACACATAGGTGGCCTGAACTACGTACGCAGGAAACAACCACACCTATAGTGGTCTGTGATGTAAATACAGAGAATGTCATTCCTACACACACACATACAGCACACACGCCCAAAGACACACACACACAGACAGAGATTTCATTCAGTATGTACAGCCACTGCTTGGACAAATTTAATCCTGTTGGTAAATCACAAATCAGAATCTGTTCCATTGTGAATTAGGTTGTCAGATACACGCATATTTGACTTGGGGTTTGGTGCATAACAGAGAATATTGACAAGTAGAAATTTAACCCTATTCGGGACTTTTGGGGTCTTTTGGACCCCAGGCCATTAGGCTGAGGTGACAGGTATTGTTTTTTTTAAATATAAAAATAGGGACATTTGTCATGCATTTGGAACCAAAAGTATGTCAACTTATCAGAAAATTTATTGAACATAGTATAAAAATCTATAATGAATACCAACAAATATTTTGCACATATTCTTTCTTGGGGACCAGAAAGACCTTCTACATATGTCAACATGAAAGTCCAGAAAAGGGTTAAAAGAAGGATCAAAGATTAAAACTTTAAAAAGCAAAAGTGCAGCAAATCCAAACTATTATAACTGTCATAAAAAAAAATAAAAAATAAAAAACAAATCAGATTCTTTGCATGTGAAAACTTGCTTGGCAATTAAAAAAAGTTTCTGATTCTAAACAGTTGGCATCCACATTTACATAACCAAATTAACAGCTTAAAAAAAAAAACAGCAAAAATTGTACATTTTAAATGCCTGGAGTTATACACTACAGGAAACCAAACCTGCCAGTATATGACACATCCTGATCATATCGTTCTCCTGTTGGTCAGAATGAAACTTCATGCTGTTATTCTTTAAGGGCACATGATTGGATCGCAAACCTCTAACGTCAGCGAATTTACTGGGAATTGAATTGAGCAACAGCACTTTGGGGTAATTATAAAACAAAGGCTGGAAAAGCGAGACCTGTACCTCCTAACTATAAGTCTATGGAGCCAAGTCTGAACTATAATGTTTAAAAGCAAAGAAAATGACTTGTCGAAAGTGATTCAGGAAGCAGAACTAGTAACAGTTCACTTGGCATGAAGTTAGCGGGCACACCCAGCAGACATGAGCAGCGACCGCCTCAGTCTGAGCTCACCTCAGACTAAAGTCACGCCGCAAAACAACTCAAATACACAATAAATGACAGCTTACCTGTCCTGAAGAGTTTCTACGCAGAGTTTCTTCTACTGTAGAGCCAAGAAGACGGAAGAACGTCTTTGCAGAGGGCAAAGCTTCTAACCACCAGCTGGACGCACGTCCCACCCACTCGGATGCAAATATTTACAGGGTCCTCCTCTCGCGTGCACGTACGAGCACGCTCACGAGTCACTGCTGCATTCACGGAACATCTGTCTAACGGGGAGGAAACCTCCCGTCACTCAATGCAAGCCTGTTATAAATAGGCAAAACGTCTTTTTTTGTTGAGTTACATATTCATAGAGGAACAAGTGAAGCCAAATGTAAAAATAAATGAGCTAAATTGTGGTTCACGCTACATTTTATTTCAATCTAACTGCGAGTGAATGTGGCTTCATCCTGCAGCCATTTTGCTATAAAATTATAGCCACTTTTGTAGTTGTATTTACAAATTGATAGCCCTCAAAAACGCCTAATGAAACAAAACCAGAATTAAAACATGATGTTTTTTCCCCCAGTGCTCATGTGCAGACTGAGCGACATGACGTAAACGTGGCATATGACCACATACGCGAGGGGGAGGGGAGACTGCAGCTGCGCCCGGAACTACACTACCCACAATCCCCTCCGCGCGTCAACAGCAACAGCTAGGATGTTGCGATATCGCTGGCAGCCAAAGATTGCTGTGGTTGCAGAGATTAGACCGCTGGGTTGAAACCTCTGCCTAATGTTTTGGTGGATGTCAAATTGTGCGGTTACCTATTAGCAGCTACGCTTGCGGCAGACGGGGTCTTTTTGAGCCTCCCTTTCGAGCCGACGCTTGTTTGTGTTGATGAAAGGCTGCGTCGCGCTAGTGCGTTAGCTAACTAAAATCATAGTTTTGACTGTAAATGGGTGCAATTAAATAGCTAGACGCGCAGCTAGCTATGTGGCAGCCGACGGTCGCTTCACTTCACTGAGGATGGAAAGATCTTTTCGGGCAACGCTATCGCACAAGTTACACGTCGGACACATCGCACTCGAAGACGTTATCTTCAGAGGATAACCTGGATAACCTTAACGCACACGAAATGTCATAGCGCGTAAGTAGCTAGCACTTAGCTAGCTGGGTAATGGCTGGACGAGATGGAGAAGGACCTAATGTTATCATCGTCAGCAGCCGACCATGAACAGCTGGATGGATAGCTAAAGAAATACTTTCTCCGGAGATGCTTTAGCCTCCTGGGTGGTGTAATTCACTTACATAACAGCTAGTCGCAACCGCTCTAGCTATCACCAACTGGCTTGTGTTGGCAGGCAAATGGGAAATTTGCCACCAAAAATCTGGGTTCTCTCAACATCAGCATAAGTGACAAAGGCATCGCTGCATGTTTTGAGGCTCCGAAATAGAGACTCGTTTAAAGGTGTACAATCTGAGCTGCACCGTTTATCTCTGCACCAGTTCAGCGCGCACAGGAAACGGCAGCTCATCTGGGTGTCTGTGACTGAAGTCCGCACATCATCATCCTCCCTGTCGTTCGGACAACATGAGGAAGTTCTTTGATTCTCGTCGGGAGTTGGTCAGCTCCGGGCCTGGTTCTGGAGGAGGAGGTGGCAGCTCCGGGTCCAGCCATGCAGGAGGGAATTTCATTGGCCGAGCCTTCACCGTCGGCCGACACCAAGTCACTGTTGAGGAGATAATTGCTGAAGGTGAGGAGGGATGCTGCACGGACCAGATGATGCCATTTGTTTGTGTGTTCTCTCTCTCTTTTCATGCATGTTGTTGAGGCGAGACAGTGACGTGGGTCCTGCATGCTGAAGCCAAACGTATGACTCACATGACAGAATAGAGATGTAACCTTATATCCTCCCTGTGGGGACGATGGAGCTGTGCATCCGTGTATCTTGGATACATAAAACAAGAGGAGGACCACTTTCTCTCAGCTGCACTGTGACTAACGCACCAATTATGTGTTATGCTGTTGTGATTCAGAAGTGTGATTCAAGGAGATGGACACGTACCTGGTGCCAGGCGGTTGCGTGATCCTTTTGAAATGAATGAAGCTTCAGTGTAAAGTAGATGCTGTATTCAGGGCTCTGCACGACTGTGGAACATCAGAACAAAATGACTGGTGCTGGGGTAAAGGCCTGAAGCCTGCACTAGAGCAAAACAAACTCATTTTATTATTAATTTAAACCTGGTAGTACAGTAGAGTTTTTGTGGAACAGTGTCTTTGTGGATTGTGTGTGCTTTTAAGTGATTGCACACACACAAATCTATACACCGAACAAGATGATATTACAGTGTTTTATGCTTATTAACTGTTTTTCATCTCAGACATCCTTTTGACAGCGATTCAACTTTATATTCCCATCTCCTCATCTGTTTTAACTGCGGTAATTCTAGTCTTCTTGCTGTAATCAGCTGCGTCAGGCTGCCAGCTTGTCAACAATCTCAAAGTGAGGTGTCCATTGTTGAAATAAAGTGCAGCGCATCAGAAGCGGATCTACCCGCACCTGTGTTCATACTAGGTGTCCGTTACCGTTTCGTAGTGCCACACTGCCATGCAATGCCATTACACACGTCAAGTTGAGGATGCAGAATAAAGCTGCAGCGTCTGCCTGAAATTGATGACTCTGCCACAGCTAAACTCAGCAAAGTGAATTTGTGGTCTGAGCTGTACCAGATGGTTAGGCCTCAATGTAGGCCTCTACGTAAAGCCTGCAGCAATGATATGACTAATAGATAACGCTATAAGGCTGCACCATGTGGTCCTGTTTGTCCTTATTGATGCAAGGCGACATGGACAGAATTGAATGGCAACAGTTGTTGAAGCACTGAGGTGTAAAAACAATAGCTCGTCAGCTAAATGTCTGAAATGTTTACCTATGAAAGCTTGCGAGAGTTATGTGATGCTGTGTTTTTTTTTTTAACTTGTGTCTTACTTTGTATTGATTGCAGTTAAATCTGGTAACAACCTTGAAGTGTGTCAGCAAACAGGGTTTAGATTTTCACCCAGCGGTTAACCATCAAGATTTCACTAACGTATCTGTAGTATCTCACTGACAGTTTAGTTTTTTTTTCCCTCTCTTCTTCTCTCAATCTTGCAGGTGGTTTTGCAATAGTGTTCCTCGTGCGAACAAATCAAGGGGTGCGTTGTGCCCTGAAGAGGATGTACGTCAACAACGAGCACGATCTGCAGGTCTGCAAACGTGAGATTCAAATAATGGTAAGTAGCTGAGACGAAATCTGTCTCTGCTGGTTCTGACTCTGAGCTCTTGTGGTTTTAAACATTGGCTAAAACCACATGTTAAGGCGACCGCAAAACAAAAGTCTTTTGAGAGAAATCCACATATGCAAGATGTTATATTCTATCCAGAATAACTAAGAACAAGTGCTGAATTCAGCACACACACACAGCCTGCAGCGGGGCTGTTTGGATCATTGTTGTACCATATTTATTCATCTCCTTCTTTGTTTTTAAAGCCTTTCATGGTGTGGTTTTATTGAACATCTTAAAGGACTATTTAGCTGTTGATGAGATGCTATTATTTTAGTATTCATCGCTGCTGTTGGTGAAAAAAAGAGGATTTTAGTCCTGAATGCATAGAAGAAGAAAATTGAAACCGGTTCTGTTAATTAGGTTTTCATTTAGTCACGCTTAATAGACATTTTTGTTTATGAAATGGTCATAAATAACAGGAAAAGACAGAGATGTCAAATAAAGTAAAACAGACTCTTTGCCTTTGCAGCAGTCTGACTGTTAATGGTTTGAGTCATGAGTAGTCATTCTGAGCCAGGAAAATCCCTGTAGTTGTTCTCTGTGGGCATTTGACACATTTGTGGTGAATACTGTATGTTTGCTCGCATAGAATAACTCATGTCTGAACATTCCTGCTTTAGATGTGTTGCACATGTTATCAAATGTGAGTAAAATGTAGATTTTCCAACCTCTTTGCCAGGCAGTATGCAGACACAACAGAGATTTATTTAGTGTATAAATAGACATGCAGGCTCTGGTAGCCTGCTGCAAAATTTGGCTATTTAGGGGTCTTGGAAAGTTAGAAAGCATTTTTATAGCATTCTGTGAGTTCAGACTCCGGACACAGGACCTCTCTGTCTGAAGGACCACTCAGGAAGGAAGGAAGGAAACAATGGATGTTCAGATTACAAAGAAAAGCGACAGATTGTATCACTCAACAAATATTCAGCAGAATTGTGTGCATTCTTGGCCTTGTTTTGATTTCAAAACCAACATGAACTGACTTTAATGTGAGGTGCAAAGATGGTGTTGCGCCATCATACAATGCTTTCTTAACCTCACAGTCTTTCCGGACACACACACACACACACACACACACAAACACACACACAGATAGAGAGACAGTGCTTCACCTCAGCTGCAGTACTTGACATTTTTTCATTACCTAATAGATTCCTGATTTCAGCTCTCCACTGCAGCTCCCTCTGCAGGTTTTGGACTCACACTGCATCTCAGAGCACTGACAGGATTGAATGAATGGGTTATTGAATTGCAATTCTTCTTCTTCTTCTTTTGTTGCAAAATATTGAATTATTTCTTCCCCATTCCACCGTTTTTTTGTGTGTGTGTGTCACAAATCATAACATCACATGTGTGAAATATGTTCTGACAACATCTCGTCCTTATAAAGGACCTTGAGTCATGTAGAATTATGGACACTATCCAGCAGCTTAGAGTTTCTGTTCTTTGTTGTACACACTTCATGCACGGCGGTGTTTTAACGCTCTTGATTGTGTGTTTGTCTCCTTGCAGAAAGACCTTGTCGGTCACAAGAATATCGTTGGTTATCTGGACTCTAGTATCACAGCTATGGGATCAAGGGATGTATGGGAGGTTCTCATACTTATGGATTACTGCAAGGGTGAGTGCTGAAGGGGAAGTGGGACGTGGCTGTAACCACATGCTTTGATTAATGAATGAATTTGAATTTAGGTAGCACTTTTAGTTTCAGAGCGAATATGTGTTTCTGTTTGGATGTGCTGTTGAATAAGTAACAGACACAAGTTAAGATAAAATCAAATACGTCTGAAGTTAATTTCCCCTGTTGTCTGTTCTGCTGTATAATTTGATGTTTTGTTTTTTTTTGCAGGAGGGCAGGTAGTCAATTTGATGAATCAGAGGCTGCAGACCGGCTTCACCGAGTCTGAGGTGCTGCAGATCTTCTGTGACACCTGTGATGCTGTTTCTCGCTTGCACCAGCGCAAGACACCCATCATCCACAGAGACCTTAAGGTGACACATTTTGCCACTTGTGCTCTGTCTAAGACGAGCTGCTCAGCTTCTCCCCCATTTTGTTTAAAGTTCCTTCACATAGTGGAGTGCACAAGTAGACAGCTCCATGATCCAGTTTCAACTGGAATCAAGATGATCACGACTGGCTCTCTCCAGGCTGTGAGTCGCACCACATCAGAGGATATTTGCTTATAGCTGAGTCTTTCTCCCCTGTAGTGTGACAGGGCGCTTTTTTACATTTTTCTAGCTCGGCTGGGGGGGCGCAGGGCTACAAAACCACGTCTCATTCACAATGAATAACAGCTGTTGCTGTCCCAGCTTTTTGAATCCATATGTGTGGAAATCCTGTAATGCACTATTCTGTGCTGTACTGTAGAAAAGGACAGGCGGTCTAGGAGTGCTAACATGGGGTCATAACCTGCAGATCACTATGCTGTGATGTCTGTTAATGATTCATGATTGATATGTTTGTGTGAGTTGAAGCTGTGTTTCATAGTGAATTGGGCTAACATGAGAAGAGAGGAGAATGACACCTGTCAGAATACTTCACATAACTTTAACTCTCTCCAGAGAAACCGAATGCAGTGTAGCTGCTGCAGTAATGTGAAGTTAGTAGTTTTAATCCGTGTGTAAACATGACTTTCATGTAGTGCATTTCTTTTTTTTTTTTAATCTTTATTTAACCAGCAAATGTCTCATGAAGATTATGAATCGCTTTTACAAGAGCATTATAATATGTCTATTAAAATCGGCAGTGGGGTGGAGATGTCAAACGTATCATATGTGAGTCAAGCACAACATCTACTTCAAGTCACATTAAGGTTTTCTGAGTTCATTTCGTGATGTCTGATTTCACTATTTGCATAAAAACCTGGAAATGTGTGGGCAGAGTTTGTTAGAGCCTAATGAAAGGAGGATGCAAGGTTGGAATGTGCTTAAATCTGCATGTCATAAAGTGAAGGTAGCTGCAGTACGCCATGTTTTTTTTCTGTCTGTCATTATCTCAAGTGCACATTTCGAGAGTAAGTCAGAGTAAATCCAGGGTTTGATTTGGCAGAGAGGGTCAATTACTGCTCCCCCTCCTAGCACTTAGACTCCAAATTGGTCCTTTCATGTAAAACCCCATATTGTCCTCAACCAAAGCAGCTCCACATCTCTGCCCGAGCGTAAATCATCTCTTGTGTATCCACAGGTGGAGAACATCCTCCTGCACGACAAGGGTCATTATGTGCTGTGCGACTTTGGCAGCGCCACTAACAAGTTCCAGAGCCCGCAGACCGAAGGAGTCGCCGCCGTGGAGGAAGAAATCAAAAAGTTTGTGCTTCTTTTCATCTGCAACTTTCATTCGTTAGCACGTCTTTTAGGTGACGCAGCGCAGAGAATGTCAGCAGGTTTGTTATTCTTGAGCAGCCTTGTAGTTTACATATTATTTTCTTGACTTATTTTTCACCTTTAATGAACCTCGGCTGCAGGATTCGGCACCACAATGCTCAAAATGCGATGTGTTTGCAAAGGTTTCGCTTGATGCAAAATTCAAGATGTAATATTAAAAGAAAAAAATAACTGTCTCGCATTTATAAGCACACAATGCTGAGAACATGTTGCTGCTGTCCTCCTCCTGTCCTATCTCAGGTACACCACTTTATCATATCGTGCTCCTGAAATGGTGAACCTCTACAACAACAAGATTATCACTACTAAGGCAGATGTCTGGGTGAGTGAAGATGACAAATGTGTGTGATAATCATAATGCTGCTGTTGTGTACATAGAGCAGTAACTGCAGGTGACACATACAGCTTGTGTCTGTAGCTTTGATTTTAGCCAGACGTGATCAAACTGAATCCACGGTAGCTAATGATGACCTTCAGACAGGAAACTATTAAACCTATAGCCTTGTTAAATAGCTTTGATGTTAACAAACAGCTTTGTAACTGTATCTTAACTGATGTTTAGATGGGAACAGGTTTTCTTGTGTGACTATTTTATGACTTCTCTTCTCTTCTCTTCTCTTCTCTTCTCTTCTCTTCTCTTCTCTTCTCTCCTCTCCTCTCCTCTCCTCTCCTCTCCTCTTGGGGGTTTTGCATGTGGTTATCTTCTCCAGGCACTGGGCTGTTTGCTGTACAAGTTGTGCTTCTTCACTCTGCCCTTTGGTGAAAGCCAGGTGGCCATCTGTGATGGCAGTTTCACCATTCCAGATAATTCCCGTTACTCTTACGATCTTCACTGCCTCATTCGTTAGTGCCTCTTAAATATTAATTAATGCTATCAGCAACCACAAATTCAGTTTTACATGCTGACTTTCATCAGGAGGGACTCATTTCTTGTTTTTCCTTCATGGTGTTTTTTTCAGGGTACATGCTGGAGCCAGACCCAGACAAAAGACCTGATATCTACCAGGTGTCCTTCTTTGCTTTTAAACTAGCTCAGCGGACCTGCCCTGTTCAGAATGTGAAGGTCAGTCTCTCGCAGCTCCCGGGGCAAGTAAAATATTTGGACTTGCCTGACTACTTTCTCTTATCAGGAATTGATTTTCTTCCTTTGCTCAGTGGAATCTGCTGTGGGTTCTCTGCCTGACCTACATAAACGGATATGTCAGTTGTCACACTGTGGGAGGAAAATCTGCACTGAATCATTAGTTACACACAGCAGAAAGGACTCGATAGCTATTACGACAATGATAAGCTTTTATTGACTTTGATGGTTTTGTCTTGCGGTAACTCAATGTAGATTTCTTTGTGAGGATTTTCCTTTTTTTTTTTCGTGAACTAGAATTCTCCAATTCCTTCGAAACTTCCTGAGCCAATCAAAGCAAGTGAGGCTGCTGCAGCAAAGAAGAGCCAGGCCAAACCCAGGCAAGCATGACCCGTGCACACTGTGTTAGCATTAAAGCTGTAGTAGCACTGCGTTTTGTGGAAGTAATTAGGTACAGTCACTATTATGATACTCATTAAATAATTATGTTAACACTGTTTGCCATGATTAACACGAAGGCCAACGTCTTCCCTTTGTTGCCAGACTGACAGATCCAATTCCCACTACTGAAACCTCCATCACCCCTCGCCAGAGGCCCAAAGCGGCGCATACCCAGCCTGCTGCTGGCATCCTACCCATCCAGCCTGCTGCTCTCACCCCTCGCAAGCGGGCTAATCTCCCTGGTGGTGCAGCTCAGCCTGTGGGTATGTACAGCACTCCGTCCTCCTTCTCGTCCTATCTGTCAGAGGAAACAGAAAGCGATCTTTTTGAATAACGATGTGCACAAATCCAGGAATCCCTCTAATCCTTTGTGCATACATTGAATAGTGTAATTCTCAACAGGAACAGATCAAGTATGCAGGTTAAGACTCATGCAAATTAAAGCAATCTAACCACGGGCTTAGTGATTATGAAATGACTTTCTTACTCTGCAACACTGCTTCAGGTGATGCGACTTTTTCTACCTGTTGTTAATCACATTGATCTATTTATGAGAATTAACAGATTATGTGATCCTCCTTAATACATTTTGATGAGCATTTTAGTGTCATAAATGCAAATAAACCCGATTTGCGTCGCTTCACGTTTAAACTGCTGTTGCGTCTGTGCAGCTATTGTGATCTTCATGTTGTTGAGTAACGTGTGGTCTGTGCTTTTTTTAACATCCCGCAGGAGTCAGCTTAGACCTCTCACAGCCAGCTGCAGCTCTCCAGTCACAGAAGGCGCAGACTTCAGCTCTGCCACTCATCCAGTCACAAAACAATTCAAGTCAGGCTGCAGCTCCACAGAAGCAGGTACATGCTTACAGTGAACAGACAAAGGAGCTTTCTGCAGTTGGAAATTCATGCAAATGCCTCAGATTTTATTTTTATTTTTTTTTAATGAAGAAAAAAGGAAGTAAAGCAGATCTCATGATTGGTTGTTGGTTTCGTACATCAGATCAAGATTCTAATTTTCTTTATGTTGGCATTGACTTCTCTTATTTGTCTTCTTACATCCTCTGAGAATCTGGGGTGTGAATGTTGAATGCATTTTCATAACCTTAGACCGTGGGAATCTGAGAGGGACAATTCTTCACTCTCGACTGTTAAATTGTGGACTAAACTAATTATCAGTTCTTTGTAGAAACTGACAGATTACTTAATAATGACAATCAGAATTTATGTCAGAGTACATATATATGAATTCAGAGTTGCTTGGAGCTTTAGAACACTGCGTTATTCCAAGATACTTTGCAGACGTGATCTTTTTGGAGTGACAGCCGATTCTGTTTAATATCTTTGTGTGACAGGCTGTGCAGCCAGCCGCAGCTCCAGGAACAGAGACAGCAGCAGCGCCACTGGTGACCAAGGCTGACGTCCAACCACAAGCACAGCCAGCAGTTCAGCCACAGACCACGTCTCCCTCCGTGGCCAGCTCCACCTCTCAGCAGGCACCGCAGACTCCATCCAGCCCGGCTCCACCTCAGCGTCCAGCTCGGCGCAAGCAGGCCAGCGTGGCTCAGCAGCCAGAAGCTCAGCCTTCTCCCACCAAGCCGGCCCCCGCTCAGCCGGTGGTATCTCAGCAGCAGCAGCAGCAGCAGCAGATAACTCAACCGTCAGCTGCCCAGGCTCAGCCCGCCTCCACCGAGATCAGCCAAAAGTCAGCTGAGACAGTGAGTGACCTTCTGCTAACAATTCAGCTTCAAGCATCATCAGCACTGCAGAGCTGTCAACATTGTTTATTGTTCTGTCCTTTTGATTTGACCATAATCTGTAAGTGGAATGGATTGGTATAAAGTCTCCATCTGTCTGTTCATCCCAAAGTTTGTCATTCACCAAAGACATTAAAATGTTTTATCATGTTAACTATGAGTCTTTCTGTGAACTGTTCTATGAAATGTTTCCTGATCTTTGATGTTTTGGCCTCCTTCTGACTCTGTAACTCTTCTGATCAGACTCCACCTGCTACTCCAAAGACAACTGAGGAACGAGGTCACCAACGCACACCGAGTGACGCCACAGTGAGTGCTGTTACTGCTGTTCCAGTGAGTGAGTCCTCACAGCAGCCGCAAGGAGCTAACGGAGAAGCTGCCCACAATCAGTAAGTGGCATAAACGGCTAGAATAAACCAGAAACAACAGTCATAATATGGCTCTTCTTCTGCGTGTTTTCTATATGATTTTTGTTTCTGTTTACTCGTAGATCACTTACATCTCAGTCAAGCACCACCCAGGCTGTTCAGCTCGGTCTTACTGACGCAGTGCAGGACCAAAGTAAAGCTACACCCACTGCTCCTGCCTCTGGCGGTGCCAGCAATACCCCCACACAGCCAGCGTGGAACCCCTTTGACGATGACACCTTCTCCAAACTCGCTGCTGAGGAATTCAAAACTGAGGACAAAAAGGCTAATGGTAACGTCAGAGTGCTTGTGTTTGTGTGCAGCAATTTTAATATGTGATTAAAAAATAAATGACAGGATTATTCTTTTTTTTTCTTGTCTGTTCTTTTTAAGCAGACCTACCTGTAGAAACCGAGACAACAGGAGAAACTGAGGAGTTGATACCAGGCCTGCAGGCCTCAACTTTGGATGCTACACCCCAAGAAACTGGTGCGTCACATTTTATCTTTAGACCATCTTTCTTTTTGATCTGCATGGACCTGGACCTGTGAGACTCCAGGAACCTTTCAATGCCATCATTATTAATTAAACAACCAAATGTCTCAAGATATCAGAAGAAAAACAACAATATAATGTACAGAATTATGAATTTAGAAATCTGCATATGTGACCTTTAAATATCAACAGCACATCAGTCCCATCATCTTACATGAGTCAACGTAGTAGTTTGTGGATGTCAAAACAAAGCTAATTTACAAATATATTAATTTCTTTGGCAAGATCGCTGAGTCTTAGATTTACAGTAAAATATTTTAGTTTTTCACTTGTGTTCTGATGCATTGCACTGTATGAGCCTAAAGCAGCGCAATGGAATGTCAAACCGAGGGAGCAAACCACTTAATGTACTCGATCCATTAATCTGAAAGCTTTAATTAGCTCTTGAAAACAGGAGCTGCCAATGTGCATCACATAAATAAAACAAGGGGTTTCGGTCAGACCCAAAAAATGCATTTAAATTCTGGCAGCGCTGCCAGCGTAGCCACTGGATATTTTGATGTGTTTCTTTTTAACAAGAAGGAATTGATTTGCTTAAATATTGTATTGGGAAATTTGCTGCTTAGAGTTTGTTGAGTTTAAAAACACGTGAGAAAGCGCTCATAAAGTTGAAAATTTTAGAGACTGGCTTCATGGACTAAACTATGTTTCCCTGGTGGAGCCAAATATGAGGAAGAGGGTGGAGCAGAGCAGTTGAAGCCTGACTGGAGTTAATGGCTAACCCGTAGAACATTGGGACCACAGGTTCATTCGATTAAAATAGCATATACAGTGCATTGAAATAGGAAACCACAACAAACTTACTGAAAAACAAAATGGATATCAGAATCCTATGAAGGTTTGTTCATACAGTTAATTGAGGATCAAGCTGTGCTGCCCACTCCACTGATAAATTATGATAAAATAACAGATTTTAAACAGTCTTACTTTACTTTTTATACTTTATTCATCCCAGAAGGGAAATTCAATTTAATTTAAATTCAATTCAAAGTCTGCATCATGCTTAAATTCATCATTGTCATCTTATATTTATATCCACTCCAGACCAGGCATGTCAGTTGAGTCAGTCACACATGCACCTTTCTTTAAGGCCTCATATCTGCTTAACAATTATTTTCAAAATGACCATCAAAAGGATCAGAAGGAGGACATTTAGTGCAAACCGTCAGAATAACTTTTGGAACAAAAACGATTGATTTCGTGCAGACAGATTTTATTTTTTTTGGATCGAACACCAAGCGACCTGCAGTGTTGCTGATCGTCTGAATTGATTATCGAGGATTGCACATTTTTCCTGCATGACGCTGTTTTTCTGCTCCCCAGTTGAAAGACCATCAGCCATTCTTGATGTGGAATCAGGAGCCTCGCTGCTGGTCGTCCCCGATCCTTTCCATACCCTGGAACTGTCAGATGCACCAGGTCAGTATTTCTCTCTGTGGATCAATATTGTCCACGCAAATAGGCTTTTGTTTGCTTTTTCTTGCTTGTTGTGGATTCGATGCTGGCTGCTTGAATACATATGGAATGGATTATTGCACCATTCATGACAGCAATCCAGAAACATGTACATTCCCTATTTCATCCATGCTTAAATGAATAAATAGTACAAAAAATATTAATAAATAATGATGTGAAAGTACATGATCTAAACATATGTACACAATCAGCAGCCAGTCTGGCTCCAAACCAAAATAACATCACATCAAGGTCTTCAATGATTCAGCTGTTTAGGTTAGACAAGAACAACATCTTTTTTTATTTTACTCTCCTGATGGAATGAGAGTTTCTTTCAGGTTTAAAACAATAAAACTTACACTGCTTTTGCTACTGTTTCTACTTTGCTAACACCTTTCCCTTTCTCTTGTTCCTCTCTGGCCTTCAGAGAAGCTGATTGAAGGACTCAAATCTCCAGACACATCTTCACTCATGCTTCCTGACCTCCTGTCATTGTCTGATCCCTTCGGTGGCTCTGTGGAAGAGTCTGCAAAAGGTGTGTGTGTTCAGGTTTCTGTGTTCCAAAATGCATTTGAATCCACATGAGAGAAAATGTTCCTCTCCACTGTGTGGGATAAAACAAAACTGGGATGCAGATCAGACTTTCTCATCAATCTGCACAGATAAAGCTGACACATTCAGTAGCTTTATATTAATAATGGATCAAATGACCTTGTCTGTTTGTGAGGCGGCTGCTTGCAGCGATGAACCCGCTGACATTATCTCAGGCCTCTGCAGTTTTCTTTGTCTTTCAGCTTATTCTTTTTTTTTTTGTTGTTTTCTGGCTCACAGCTTCACTGGTTTGCTTCACTGTCAGATGCAGCGTGAAGTTGTTTTCATTAAAAAAAAGAAGTTATAAAACCCACAGCTGTAGGCTATTTGTCCAGGTAGTAGTACAAGTGTTCAAACACGACTTGAGAAGCGACAGTATTTCAGTGTTGTGCTCACAGTTGGTTTCAACTGGTGCCACGCTGACGGCAGTTGTTTTGATTCTGGATACTAGTTATGAATTACACTGGGTTACAAAAACATACTTTTTTGAAGGTGTGTAGGATTTTTTTAAAACTGATTTAGGACATTTTTGCAACGCTGAGTACAAAAAGGACATCTGCTTTTCTGTATCAGGTCAGGTTTTATGCTTAAAAAAAAAAAAAAAATCGATTTTGCCACTAAATTGATTACATTTTTTGACATTAGCGATTGATTTATTTTAGTATTTCTCATATAAAATTGTATTTTAGAGGAAAAATTTCATTTTCTAATCCTTTTCATAAACTAAATGATCCAAAAGTTGATGAGCGTAAACATTTGTAAAAGTAAATACAAGTAAATTTTGACCTCATTGAGTAAAACCAACGTAATATTTGGATTCAGCTCATTGCAAATGTCCAAAATCAGCTCAAAAAACTTTGACACCAAAATGTATGTAGACCAGTGTTATCAACAGCTATTCTTTTAGTTGCTGACAGCTGTTAGTTGTTGGCTTCTGTTATTTACTTGTAGTTTGTTAGTTATTGACTCCTGTTTTATTTGTTACCAGGTGGTTTTTAGCAAAGACAGACATGTCTTTAAAATTTAGTACACGTTTGTAATTTGCTGTATCTTTAGGGAAACTCTTCACTGTATTTTCAACATGCTGTAATAATAAGCTCATCTTCATCTGTCTTCACCTACCGAGCACCAAGCATTGTGTACATCTCTTACGTTTTGCTTCTTAGGGCTAATACGATCTTGTAATATCGGTCTGTAAGTAGTAGAAAGAGTCTTAGTCACTAATCCTGCGCATTTATCGGTTCTCCTGCTCTCATTGTACATCAGCTATAACAAAAGTTCATCCTGTCCTCTGTCCACCTGTGTTCTCTCCTGACCTGTTCCCAGACCCTCTCACTGCAGACGACTCTCTCCTGGGCTGCTCTTTGATCTCTGGTCCATCTGCTCCTCCGGCGGCAAGCAGCGCCACCTCCTCCGTCTCCTCCGCTCCCACCTCCGCTGCCTCTGCTTTGGATGATTTCAGTCTGTTGTCTGGAGACTCCACTCAGCCGAAAGCGGGTACGTTGTAAGAAACTTGCAAAAAAAAGAGGAAAGCAACCTCCCACTCACTAGCAGGACTGAATTCAAAGCAGCATTATGAAGCACAGAGATGTATGACTCACTCGGTGTGATGAAGATCTCGCTTTTTCTATAATTTAGGGGTGACGGTGTGCAGGAGATATCAGAGGGAAGAAATAGGTCTTTCGGGAAATACCGGAAATGCTCATTTTCGTCGTAGCCATGCCAGTGTCTGACTTTGATTGTGAGCAGCTGACAGGCTCCAGCAGCGAACATTAGCAGGGGAGCAAAATATACAAACTTCCACTGTAGCTTACAGGCTGTATGTAGACGCTGTGCTGTCAGCTGCGTTTTTGCACAGTAAGGATGACACCAGCAAGTAACTGAACCGAGCGTCGAAATGTTGTTTACTGTGCTGCAGCTGCCTGAGCTAATTAGCCTGCTGCTATTAGCGGCGCACTTTTCCTTACTGAACGCATGTTTGGTCACTCGCTCATCAAATGAAGGTGCAGCGTAAGACGTGTTCATTTTTGTAAGACGGTAAGAAAGCGGATGTGGTTGTTATTCAGTCTGTGGCTCTTGCCTGTGATACAACACTAATCGTACTGCTGGATGCAGTGATTTGAGTGACTTAGTTAAAATAAGCTCCTCATCTACATGTTCAGACAAATTTATACAAAGTTAGCGTCAACATAAAAATAAAATAATTGAAAATGTAAAATTTTACTTCCTGAGGACAGGAGATAAGAGATGCTGCATCAGACTAAAAATACAATTTCACCTGCATTTTAAAACTAGAGAGCAGAAAAACTCCAACTTATCAGTTTGTCCTGGTGATGTTAATGTTGCCACAGTGCAACTCATTCTGGACCCCATCATGATATGAAATTAAACCTCAAGATCCTTCTTCGCAGAAGTCTAGTATCAAAGGGACACCCCCTTTTATTATAAATCTATTTGGTGGTGTGCTGTGAATTCTACACCAATTCAGTCCTAAGAACTCTCCCCAGGAAGATGAAACCACATCCACACCTAGCCACAAAAGACCCTAACGAACCCCTTTGTGGCAGGGGGAGCACTAACGACCTATATAACGAGGGGGAGGAGCAACAAACCCCCAACTGAAACCGAAACTCAGGTGTTAATGGCTTCTTTAGGATATCAGTATCTGGAACTCCCAACTAGTCAGAACTGATGACGCCTCTTGGATGAGAGGTGGAACATCTTCAAGGAGCTCAAGCAAGTCCAGTTGCTACGATTAATCTACCAGAATGATCTTGACCTGGATGACTGAGAATCTTCACATACTACACTAGCACAGTTTTATACAGCAGCGTATAACACATTCAACTCAAAGTTTGGGTTTTGTTTGTGCTTTAATTCACCATCAGAGCCTCGTTGAAAGGACACACTCTGTGCAGAGAAGTTAGATTTCAACCACTGGGTGGCATCAGAAGCATTTCCATTGCAACAAATCTGACTGATCCCAGTTCATCTTGATGATGGGCTGTTTCACATACATATTTAAAAACAAATTTTATCGATTCACTGTCGTGGTTTTCCTGATGCTTAAATACATTTCCTGTTTCACTTTAATGCATTTTACAGTTTTTTAAAATCTAGCTTCTTTTGAATGGAATCCTCTGTAAACCTGTGTTGTGTGTCACAGATTGAGCGCTACACAGCTGCAGTTTCATGGTGAACAACAGCGTTTGACTGTTGTTGACGCTGCCAGTTCCAAATCACAGCCTGACTGTGTGGACCAGCTGCATCAAAATAATTACTGCTTCTTTCTCCTCATAATATCTTATCAAGCATGCTTTGTGTCCATGAAGGGCAGCGGATATATTCCTGCAGTAAATGCTGATTTTAAGAACGTTTTTAACATGGTGAGGAATTTTCTAAAAAATATTATCAATGTTTCCCGCAGCTGCAGTGCCTATAAAACGTATTCACCCTCATGGATGTTTTCCACTTTATTTCTTTTCAATAGTGAATCGTGGTCAATATATTTTGGCTTTTTTTTCCCCCCACAACAACAAGTGAAAACAGATTTCTGCAATTCTATTGTCAGTTAATTAGAAATATAAATATAAAAGAAGTGATTGCATAAGTATTGACCGTATTTAAAGTGACTCACCTAATTCAACACAGCTGCAGCTGGTTGGTGCAAGAAGTCACACAATTAGTGAAATGGAGATCATCTGAGTGTTGTGAGTGTGTCTCAGGAGATTTTAGAATTAAGACATCAGTATCTGGAAAGTCCGGTCACTGGTGAATCAGCACTTCTGGACATAACTGCACCATGACGACAAAGAAACTCTCCAAACAGTTCTGGGTAAAGGTTAATGAGAAGCATAAGTCAGAGAATGGATGAAGGAAAAAATTCCAAATCGCTGAATATGCCGTAGAGTACAGTTACATCCATCATTAGAAAATGATAGGAACATGGCACATGTGTCTGGAGCAGGTCGTCCTCAAGAACTGAGTGACTGTGCCAGAGAGACACCAGTGAGGGAGGCCACCAAGACACACATGACTCCTCTGAAGGAGGTACAAGCTGATGGGAGAGACTGTGCATACAACAGTTGTTGCCTGTTCTTCGTCAGTCAGAACTTTATTGGATCATCTTAAATGTGGACTAGAGTTCACCAGAAAGTGTGTGAGAGACAACCGGAAGAAGGTTCTTTGGTCTGATGAAACCAAAATTGAGTTTTCTGGCCATCAGACTAGATATTGTGTTTGGGAAACACCAAATGCTGCCCATCATCACAAACAAGCCATCCCACTGTGAAGCACGGTGGTGGCAGCATCATACTTTGTGGATGCTTCCCTGCAGTGTTAGGGTTTGTGGGTAAAATTAATCCAGCAAAGTATTGGGAAATCCCAGAGGACATCCTGCAGCTCGAGCTTGTTTTCTTGACCTGAAGCACACAGCCAAGGCTTCACAGAAATGCTTTCAAGACAACAATGTGAACGAATCCCAGTGCAACCTGACAGAACTTGAGCAAAGAAGAAAGTAGTGAAGTGTCTAGAAGTGTAAGACTGGTTGAGAACTATTCACATGGGCTTAATGCTGTGTGAACTAAATAGGGAGTGAATACACTTGTTTTACATTTCATATTTTTAATTAGTTGAGATTATGTCGTCGAAATCTGGTTTTACTTTGACATGAAAGAGTCTTTTTTTGATGGGGATGAATTCTTGTAAAACAAAAAAGCCTAATTATATTGATGCAGTGTTGAAAAGCAGTAAAAGTAGAACATTTCCAAGGAGGGTGAACACTTTCTATAGGCGCTGTACATGAGTAGGACGCATCTACTCTGCAGTGCATTAATAAAAATGATAATCCTTTTAATTGGCCACAACGCGACTCTTCTTTCACACTGTTGGCTTCTCGTCTTCTCGGATTAACAACCAACCATCTCTTCCTTTCCCTGCAGACTCGTCTCTTCTGATCTCAGACTTCGAGACCCAACAAACCAGCGCGGAGGCCGGCACGGAGGACGAGTTCGATCCCATTCCCGTCACGGGCCGAAAGAATTCCCAAGGTAGGTCTTTTACAGTCTCCTCACGGACGCAAAGGTGGGTCATGATAGCGTTTGTAGACACATCCAGGACTGGAGAAACTAATGACTGACTGATAAGACGATGTGTGCTGTTTTTTACATCTTCAAAGTCTGAGCTAAGAATGTTCCAAAACCACTAGAGGTAACTGGGTAAAATCTGCCCTCTCTTTCTCTTTTCTCGACCTCTCTCTCTCTCTCTCTCCCCCTCTTTGATGCTTTGTTTGCTTGTTGTGACTCCCACTCCTCTGCTTCTCCTCCCCTCTCTGTTTGCCTGTACTCGTCTCCCCCCCTCTCCTTCCCTCTCCCTTGTCTGTCCGGCCAGTTTCAGGAGGCCACTCGCGCAGTAACAGTGGCGGCTCTGAATCCAGCCTGCCCAGCTTGGCCCGCTCCCTGCTGCTGGTGGATCAGCTCATCGACTTGTAGGCGGCCCTCCCCTTCCCTCCCCCAGTAGAAGCTGTAACACTGGATTATAGACTGGCATAGCATAACAACAATCAACACTGTTGTCATAGCTAGCTTCCTGCACCCCCTGGCTGTCATCGTCATTGTAGCTCCTACAGTAGAAACTGTCCGTCGCCTTTCAGCGCTTCTTCTTCTTCATTCCTGCCCTTTCCACCGCATCGACCGCATTTATCTGGCTTCTCTTCGCCTCTCATCTCTCACCTTCACTTTTTCTCTTTGTTGTGCATCATGTATTGTCCACTGGGGGAAACAGTGGCCAATACGCTATCATCATCATCATCATCATCCTTTCTGAAGTTTAACCATCCTTCTGTCAATCAGGATATAATATAGCTATCCAGTTTGTTTGAACAATACTGCATTATGTCTAATAGCAAACAATAGAAGATCATTGTTGTAATGTATAATAGGCATAGTTCTAAGTGGTTGTAGTTATTATCGTGCACAAGTGAATTTGTCGTCGTTTGCCTTTTTAAATTCTCCTCCCCAGATTTATTTGCACATTTTAAAGAAAAAAAACAAGCAGAATGACCATTAATTCAAATGAGGTTTATTTCCCAAAAAAAAAAAAAAAAGAAGTCATGTAGCCTGATTTGCACAGTTGCGTAAGTGTAACCTCTGTCAGGGCTGTGGGATGGAATATCTTTTCACAATTTAAGCTGCTATCGATTAGACTGGAAAACATCGACTCAAGTTCCAATCTAGAAACAAAACAGACGGTGAAGCGCCCATAAAACAGTCTGAGAGGCGAGCTGTCGGCCGGTGGAGTCTGCTAAATGGCAACACAACCGTCGTACAGATTCTGTCCTAACATCCAACTTGTTTTCCAGACGATCCAAACAAAGCCCCATTTGCTGTTACTTTAAGCTCCGTTTTCTTTACGTTTTTTTTTTTTCTCGAGGCAAGCAATAGGTTGTGTTGGAACTAAATGACAAATCAGGGTCATTTAACTGTGCTAATAGCAACGTGCCATATCAATAAAAATGCATGAAATCATGAAAAATAATTTGAGTAATAATAAGCAGTAATAGAAGGCAGTAGAAATACAGTAGCAGTTATAATATATATATAGACAGAGCATTCATGACTATTCAGGTAATTTCTTGGCACTTGCAGAAAGTCTAATACGTCATTTTAAATTATTTTCACGCGCTCACTCTTTTTTTTTTTCTTTTTTTGTTTTTTTAAATATCTGCATATTCATTCCACATTGTGCAATCCCTCCTACATTCCTCTCATTTGTTTAATTTATGTAAATAGATATCTGCAACCCCTGCAGGCTCTTATCCAGACCGTATATATGAAGTCATTGTCATAAAGCTTTACTCGTGGAAAACATATTGCTTTACTTGTGAAATCTCTCTCTCTCGCTCTCTCATCTATATATACATATATGTGTGTGTGTATATATAGATGAGACGCTGTTTTCCTGTTAATACATGTTAATATGAATAGAGTGTTAGAGAATGAATGTAAGTAATAAATATTAGTCTATAATAAAATATATCTATGATTCTTAACACCATAATCATTCAATAATATTGAAGAATACTCTATATAAATATTTCATTCCTCTTTGTGGAATTTGTGTGTTAAGAAAGTTTTTTTTCTTGGTTATATCTACTTAATAATTGTCAGTACATTCAAATGTATAGATGATAACCCTGGTCTCTGTTCAGCCCGGAAGATTAGGCCCCCCTTGACCCCCGTGTCTTACTCCACCTCTGTGAAAAAGAAAAGCGAGCCTGTGTTCTGTTTGTTTACATGGACTGACGAAGGATTATATTTTTATTCAAAAACAAGTCTTCTGGACGGTGGGAGTTTAAACCGCTTGAATTTTAGTCCTGTTGCGTTTGTGCTTTTTTTTTTTTCCAAGGCTTTTTGTTTTTGGCTTTTCGTGATCACAGGATTCATATCAAGAAGCATGGCAGTGTTGTTGAATGTTATGTTCATGTGTGTTGGTATACAGTGTTATGATCAGTATGTATGTGCGTGTGGAGTCTGAATTGTTGGATGTGTTTTCCAGTAGCCTACTTGTGTTGTTGTTTGCTGCAAAATTTGGCAACGGTCACGTTGTCATTAAAATCCTCCTTTGAAAGCACAGCGCCCCCCTTCCCCCCAACAACCCTCCACCCTCTAAATTCTCTCAGGTAGTCAGAGCTACATCACTCTCTTTCTCCGAGAGCTGGAAATGTACAGTATTGGCTTACTGCTCCCCCATCCTCACTGTCCTCTAGAAGTCTGCGCTTCATATTACAAGTTCACTGAGATCTCGTCTGGTGTGTGATGTGTGAGGGGCTCTGTGAAGTGCCAGTCTTGGGGTGACGATGCTGTAGCGGTGCTTCGATTATCAGACGGCGTCGGCTGTCTAGGGTTAGAAAACATCAGCTCCAATCAGCAATATAAACGTTTCTGATGGATTCTTTGCTTCCCGTGCATGATTACAGAGGGAGGACAACCTTTACCTGTTGCTTTTTCATTTTGTCGTGTTAAAAAGGGATTTTAAAAAGCACACTAAATGGTATGTTTCTGTGAGAACGACTGAAAACATACCGATGGAGTGAAAGTAATTCTGTTTAAGTAATCAAGAGTTCAGCTTAACAAGCATTTAGAGTAAAAACATGTCATCTTAACGCTGATAAAGTGCCCAAATCTTAATACGTTTTCACACATGATTAGATATGAGTCACTTACTTACATGTAATACGGATTAAAATGCAGTTATCAAGTTGAAACACTAGTACAACATACAATTTTTAAAAACCTAGAATCTGAAAACAGTGCCAAAAGCATGCAGCGCACTAACTGTTTAGATGATCTTTAACAAGTAAAGGTCAACAAGTCTCATCAGAGTTAATACTGGTTTCTGTGTTATCTCAGTGTTCTCGATCTGCCCCCACAATTAAGAGTATTTTGAGCAGAACCTTGTCTTTTGAATTCGTTTGGGACCTACCAAATCTGCAGAAAAGTGACGGAGGAAGCTGTTTTCAAAGCAACCAGTCTCTTGGGTGTTTGAACTGCAAGGTGCTGCATGTGCAATCGAAGGCTTACGTTCTCTACCATCCTCTCTATGGTCCTTCCACTGAACAGCTCAAGTCATTCGCAGTTACTGTTCGAACCTATGCAACTCCCGAGCTTTCTCTCCCCCCCCCAACCCCCGTAGCCGCCAGTGTGCTGTTGTAATCAGTAAAGCCGAGCAAGATAAGCCCTCGATGTGAAACAGACGCCCCTCGTTTTTTCTCTCTGTTGTTTCGCCAAAAATGAAAGCTGTCGATTATCTGATACTATTGAGTGTTTTGAGACGCCTCCTGTCGTTATGGCCCCGAACCTGCGTCAGAGCTGTGATATCGTGTGCTCCTTCTATTTTTGTGAGATAACTAAAGAATTATAAAGGGATGGCAAATAAAGTACAAATGTGAATGTCAACGTGTTGAGTTTTTAATGTCCTGGATTTTACTAGAAACGTGTTCTTGTTTTTACAGAAAGCTATCTATAACTGTTTCTCCTCAGACGTGCATGCAGATAGATTTACATAAAGGCTACTGATAAAGACAGATGCCTACTTTTGAAATAAACCCACTGAATGTGATATTAAAGCAGGAAAAAGGTGCAAAAAACTTGTTACATCATGGAATGAAATCACATTTTTCAGTTATCTGATATATCTGCATTCAATATTAACACTTTCTCATGAACAAGTTTTGAGTTAATTAAAGCAATTCTTGGAAAAAGTACATTACAAACCTTGTTTTTAAGCTCAGACGCTACGTACAGCAAGAACCGAACAACCTTTACATATAATAGAATTATATCAATGCTGCGCAAAAGCAAACTTTGGTTGCAAGAAAGTTCAAACTAGTGGAAATGTGAAGGAAAATTATATAGTCTTCACTCTGGTAGAAAATTACTTCTTAATTCAATTACATCAAAACATGCAGCAACAATTCTTTGTTTGCAAATTATCTTCAGGGTTTCATGAATGTTCAGTACAAATTTCAACGCAATCCTGTTAAGAAATGAGTTTTAGAAGGAACTGCAGAAAGATTCAGTTCAGCAGAGAGAGATGAACTTTTCAAAAATAAAATCACCATTACAATGGAATTTGCAAAGTCCCATGAACCTAATGGATGTTTCCAAACTAGTTTTAACCAGAACACCCATAACCTGAACTGTGAGGGTTAGTTGCACTTATTGTACTTTAGCTGAGACAGTAAAAGGATTAATTCATTGTTCTAGTTCAGCATCTAAATAATCGAGTGAATATTAAAACGTGTAGGAATGTAGGTTTAAATGTGTGATGTGCTGATAAGAATCTGCTTGGATAGCATCTTAATTCTACTCAGGTAAGATCAAACTTTAGCTTCTTTTTTCTTTTTCTTTCTTTTTTCTTTTTCTTTTTACATTTTTGTGACTGTGGTTTTGTGTTCTGTAAGGATTTTAACGTCACTTTCAATTACTAGTTTGTCCACCAGTGATCACTCACAAGTTTATTCACATGTGTAATCTCACACTTTACTCTTGGTTCTTTTAAATGAATGTCTATTTAACATCACTGATAGAAATATAACATGCAAGAGATTCAGGAGACTTTAGTTAAAAAGCCATGACAGCTCTTGACAGTATCCTCCGATGTGACCTGTGTCCCGTCTCTTCCACATGCAGACCTGCAGAGGGAGCTCTGCAGCAATGAGCTGCGAGCGGCCCGGCCTGCAGCTCCCGCGCAGCTCACTGAGGAGGAACAAAGGCCGAGGATCCAACAGAGCTCTGCTGCATGTGTCTATAATCAACACCCGTTGCTGTCAGATGAATGGAGCCTTCAGCACCGTCCGGCTCCCTCCACCGGCCTTCATTTCATACCTGTCAGCCAAGAATCTCAGTCCCAGCCTCCCGACAGCCCGGTCACCTCTGATGTCTTCCAGCTGGCCCCTTTTAAAACGCCAGGAAAAGAAAGCAAGATGGCACCCAGCAGCGCCTCCTTCTCTGCATCTCATAAACCTGCCGAGGCGTCCGATGTTTTCCTCCAGGCACCGTTTGGAAGGAGGCAGGAAACCACCAGAGCTGCACCTACTAACGCTCACGTATTAAAGTCTGGCACGCAGCAGATCCCAACCAGCAAACGGTGTCACCCGGTCAGAGTGTCATCCACTCCTGCTTTCCAGCCTCTCAGCATCCGAGCCGCCCCCCTGCACGCCGAGACTCCTCTGCTGCAGCAGCCGGTGGCGGTGCACCGGGTCGTCTCCAGGATCGGCCAGCAGGCCGCCGTGGGCTCCGTGGCTGTGGGGCCCCTGCATTCCTGGACCATAGGGGGAAGAGCTCTGGATGACCCGTTCACCGCTGCACCTTTTCACCCGAGATGCTCTCACGGGAAACCCTGATTTATTTTTTTATAATCATCTCTTTAAAAAAAAAAAAGAAGCCAAGTCAGAGCTTAATCTGCAGCTAATGAAGGAGCCAAAGCATCGCTGAGTGGCAGTATTACTCACAGTTCTCATGCAGTTTCCATATTGTTACTGCAGTTTAAAAATCACAAAATGATCCTCTTACCTCTACCTCAGTCATGTCATCCATTTGTTAGCCTGTGCACAATCATGTCAGCACTTTACAGACAGTCCAAACTTTGAAAAAACAATCTCAAGAGTGGCTTTAATGGGTCTGTGGCTGATCAGAGTAATGTAGGATATCAATAAGGCTGGAGTTAAAGGCCCAATCTGTCACTTTTTAACCCATGTAAACTACAGTTTTACTCTGATAAGGAATTCTAGGCTTTTTACTCAGTTTTTCTTTGCAAACATTATCGCTGTAGACGAATATTTAATGGCACCAGAAAACACGAGTAGCTTTGGTGTAAAGTGGCTGCTTCAGGTTTCACTCTATGGATGTGATTGCATGTTTTCATCATGTTTAAAGTCTAGTTGTTTACTCTCTTTGTTTACATTTAGGTTATGAATTGTGCCTTTAATATCAGTGTTTTCCAAAACGGCTGCAGGCTTCTGGTCAGCGTTCGGTTTCAATGCTGGAAGTGATGCCAAAACATTTCAAACCAAAGTAAATCCTGCGAAACTGGTGTTTAAACTTTTCTGCACGGTCGAAGGAGAAAACTAATATTGATACAGTCGCTGCTTTCGTATCCGGAGAGCTTCAAGCATGTTTTAATGTTTTATTATTCCAATGAGCTGGATGAAATCTGGAAGGACTTTAATTGTTTTATGCTCAATTTACCTGCAACAGCAACTTTTAAGCAATAATTAAGTAGTAAAATTATCGTTTAAAGGTTGCTGTTGCTGTTTTCCCACAAACTGTTAGCAGTCGGTTCCCAGAAGCTGCTGCCATCTCGGCACAGAGCGGTACCACCATCGTTGTGAGCTCTTCGGAGGAGTTTTGGTGACTCATATCATGTCTGTGGTTTGCTGATGTCTTGTGAGGTGATTCTCAGGAGACGATAAAGACAGAAAACCAACATCAAGCCGAGTTTTGAGTTCTTCTGAAGTGATGAGATTACAAACCATGGCACAGATAAGGACTGACTCTCTGTGAGCTGAGCTGCCTTTGCTGACTGTATTTTGTTATTGCATAGCATTTTTTTAAAATCTGTCTGATTTGACTTGTTATTGCTGGACAGTAGAAAAGGTTTTTGGTGAAAATTAAAGGGTTTATGAACATGATGGAATCGTGGTTATTGGCTGCTGTGGGGTGTGTTGTTTGATTTGTGACGGCCCAATATCAGCTGCTGCCACGGAGGCCTAGAATCCCGTTTAGCTGTGGGTCCCTGAAGGCATCAGTACGGCCCGTAAATCTCAGCCATCCCTCTCTTGCTGTCGCTCTCATTCATTCTGACCCGGCTTCGTTGGCGGTGACACATCTTTCTGTTACCTTTCTGCTCCACAACACCGTACATCCCATCATGTTCACTCATTCACACCTACACTACTGATGCTACTGATACCACACGCCATACTTACTATTATTTGTTAAATGGTTTGCTTTTGGTTATAATAAATATCCTTATTTTGAGTTAAATCCGTGTTCCCTGCCATATTTGTATTTGCCAGGTTATGACAGATTGTGGCGCGAAAACTTTCTCACATGCCGTCTTTCTTTGGCACTTAATCAAATCCAGTTTATTGTCATGTTGCTGTACATACACAGTAGTACAGGCAAGATGAGAGCGAGTTTCTTCAGGATCCAATAACTTAAAGCAATTTAAATAAACAAGTGTTTGCATATCTGGATCAGCAGTTCAGCATTCTGACAGCTTGTGGAGTGAAGCTGTTGATCAGTCTGGAGGTTCTTCCTTTAACGCTCCGGAAACGTTTGCCTGATGGCAGCAGTTCAGACAGTTTATGGAGAGGATGTGAGGAGTCCCTGACAATGTTCAGGGTTTAATTATACATGTTGCTCTGTCGTCATTAGAGGTCTATGTAGCTGTTGGAGAGTTCTGATTACGAGGTCCGTGAAAAGTTCCAGGACTGGTGTCACAAAAGATATATTTCAAAACCCATCTACAAACTATCAGCTTTCCCCTTCAGACGATCAACCAGCACATCTACAAAGAGATCCTTTGCTTCGTTCAGTGTGTGAGAAGAGGCGAGAGTTGTGGCAGGACGAGTCATGGCTGCTTCACCGTGATCCTCCAGGAGTGCAGAGAAGGCTGTGTTAGACTCCAGGGGGATTACTTGGAAGGGGAAAACTTGTAGTTTGTAGTTTGGATTTGAAATCTATCTTTTGTGACAGCAGTCCTGAAACTTTTCTGACACACTTTGTATGTGTGAAGAGATGTATCTCCACTAATGCTGCACACATGTGAAGATATAATCAGTTTTATGTTCTTGGAAGATCATCAGATGATTCAAGTGTCCATGACTTCTAAAGAACAAGTAGAAGAAAATGAGGAACTACAAAAACAAAACATGAAGAACTAAAAGAGGAGAGAAGAGCTACAACAAAAACAAGAAAAGGTGGAACTAGAAGAACTACAGGAAGAAGAGGAAGTTCTCAAAGAACTATGAGAACAAGAAGTAGAAAAAGAATTACAGGAACAATTATGAGAAGAAGAGTTATGGGATGAACTAGAAGAATACAAGAAGAACTACGAGAAGTAGAGGAGCTGCAATAAGAACTACAAGATGAAAAACAACAAGTAGTAAAAACTACAAGAGGAGGAACTAAAAAAAAAAGAACTGGGCAAAGAACTACAAGAAGAAGAGGAACTACTTAAAGAAGAAAAAGAACTATGAGAACACGAAATAGAAGAAATCCAAGAAGAACTAGACAAAGAATTACAGGAACAATTATAGGAAGAGTTATGGGACCAAATAGAAGAATACAAGAAGTAGAGGAGCTGCAATAAGAACAACAAGCAGAAAAAACTACAAGAGGAGGAACTAAAAGAAGAACTACAAGAAGTAGAAGAACTACTAGAAGCACGACAAGAAGAAGAAGAAGAAGAAGAAGAAGAATGGGACACGATGGCAGCTGCCAAGAAAAACTACATGAATAAGGAAAAAAAATGTAAGAAGAACTGTAAGAAGAAAAGGAGCAGCTTCCTGTTCAGATTGTGGTAAAAATTCAAAACAGTTGCAGCACTGCAGGTTATTTCAGAGGCAAAGATCTGTTTTTTTTCCTTCTCCTTCAAAGCATTGCCAGAGTGACGTGGGAGGGTTCTGCTGCGTGAGTGGGTTACAACGGAGACCTGCTGAGGTTTACTGGATGTGGATCATCAGTCTCTGTCCTCTGAATGTGAATGAAGTGCGGCGGGGTGTTTGTTTATCCACGAGCCACTGTCACAGTCTTGTCTGTATTCATTTGTTGTCTCATTCATTCAGTTCAGTTTATTTCAGTGTCTACATTTCATCGCCAGATCTACAAAACAAACAATGCGTCATTCTTTAATGGGAAAAAGAGCAAGAAGAAGTAAAACATCTTATATTATCGGCTCCATCCTTAATAATAACATTAAATACAGCTCAGTGCACAAAAAGGTTTTGGTTTATCTTTATGAGATTGTGAGGATTCAACAAAATGCAAAGGTAAAATGGAAAAACAGATAAAAGGCTGATTTACAAACACAACAAATCTGCTGCTTCAAGGGTTCTTCTCGTGTCACGTTAAACCAGCAAGCGGCATGTGAGGTACTGCTGGAGTCTGTGGAGGGATAAGCTGAATCTGTGTGAAAGATGAGACACTTGTTTTTCTTCGACGACGCACCAAAGTGTCATGTGAGCGTAGATTTGGTAAGATTCCTTCTCCTGAGCTCGGGACAAGACGAGCGCATGGAAAATGTGGAGAGCGATCCAGCTCTAGAGCCCGGTTTCATCTCGATAAACATGTCAGGATTTGTATACGTGGGTGGAAATAGATAAACTAAAGGGGTTTTTTATTAGAGTTTGCTGAAGCTCCGCTGAGGTTCGTAAACCTGCGGAGCTGATACGCCGAGTGAAGTCATTGATTACACTTGTTTGTGCAGCCAAGGTAGACAACGACGCCAGCCAAGCTCGGGCCACTGCGAAGCACATTTTCACATTCTTTTCAGATCTATTTAAAGGGGAAACATGTTTACGAGCTGCGGGGTCATTTTTATAATGTCACATGAAACTATGATTCCACATTTGTCTGTGAGGTAAGATCTGGAAGGACTTCATCATCCATATGTTGTGCAATACTGAAGCTTATAGAGGCCAAAGAACGGCGTGCTGGTGATTGTTCTTTTAAATTTTTCTTTTTGGACGCATGAAAATCAGTCGTTGTGTCAAATTATTACAATAACAGACGGTGAAGAGACAAACTCTGTGCCCGACTGATCTGGAAAGCTGAATAAAGCTGCCAAGAAAAAAAGTTGTCCACAGTCTTTTCACTGCTTTCTGGTGGGCGTTGTAAAAGTATTAAACTGAATCTGTCTGCTTTTAATCCAACTGCTGCCTGCACTCTAAAAATAAAGCATCTCAAGTCATTTAGATTTAAATATATCAGTCAGCAAGTTAAACATATAACAATGGGATTGATTAGGATTATCTCCTGTGTGGGACAATATTTTTTTGAGTAAAGCTAACTTTTTATTTAGTCATATTACATAATTATTAATAATACTTGTGTAGATGAACAGCTGCATGTTGTAGCTTCCTACTTGGTCCCGTGGGGGAAATTCTGTGTTTGTTGTGATTAAGTTTATTGATGTTAAGTAAGTTGTTTTTTCTGTTTTTACAATTCAACTGCTCATGTTTTATATGTTTTTAGGTTACAGAAGCTGTGTCACCATGACGGCAACAACATGCAACATGCTAATAGATGTTTTTAGTGTGATATTCTCTGTGATATTAGAGAAGCAGCTGTGAAGGGAATATTAAACTGTCCTGCGATCAAGACGAGCCACCGCTTGTCACAGCTTAGCAGCGACCTCCTGCAGTTCCTCGATTGTCCACTTGAGGCAGACTCCAAATGTGAGTTAATCCCCATAGACTTCTATGTTAAAATGCTCAACTTTAAAGCAGGAATAAACCTGTTTACAGCCTGGTACAAAAAACTGTTTTGATCTCTACAGCTAAACTCTTCTGTCATGACATCTGTACTGGGG